AAAGGACCTTGCTCCTTACAGAGGTCTGAGGCCATGGCTACTTATATAAAACAGAGTAGAAAAATTTCCCTGGTGAACCAAAAAATATCTATTTTCTAATACTTTTAATGCTTCGTAAATCAGAAGTTTCTTTTGACCTGTGGCAACACTTATTAATAAAAGCCCCAAACTGCCCTAAATTTGAATCAATTTGGAAACCCCCAATAGCCAACCATGAATCTTCTACAACAAGTTTACAGGCCAAGAAAAGAAGCCTCAGTATGTCCATTAGTAGCCTCATGAGTCCAAGGGTTAACCGAAGTCAGATTCTCGGGTGACACAAAGAATGTATCCTCAAGAATTTGAAAGCCCACCAAGGGTAGGCCTGTCTTCAGGATCAAGTTGATGCTGGGGCACTCAGTCGTTAAGCGTCTGCCTTCGGCTCAGGTCGTGATCCCAGAGTCCCGGGATCTAGTCCCGCATCGGGCCCCCTGCTCTGTGGGAAGGCTGCTTCTCCCTCTCCCACTCCCCCTGCTTGTGTTCTCTCTCGCTGTGTCTCTATCAAATAAATAAAATCTTTAAAAAAAAAATTTAAAAAAAATTAAAAAAAAAAGATCAAGTTGATGCTTGCACCAGAAGTCAAAGATAGCTTGCACAGTCTGACGACTGGCATCATTACCACATGGAGCTCTGGGTGGTGCGGTCACCATCACCCAATCCCTAGATTTTCCAAGGCACCATGATGCACCTGCGGTTACACCTTCAACTGCTAAGCAGCCCCCCCGCCCCCCCCAAGAAGGGGAAGCAATTATGGAGCTGCAGGATACAGATGAGCTTTCATGGACTCCTACAGCTCAGAGAAATCATAGGGGTCTGATGATTTCCAAACTATGTTTAGCAATAGGATACATTTTCCCCCAAAGAAAATGTTAGCTGGAAATCCAATATATGCTATAGACAAAGGAGAAACTGCTCTGGCAGATTCAAGGGGGCAAGAATGATCTGCAGTCTCCCCACTTGGCTTTCCCTTACCTCCCGGGCTGGCCACTGGAAAGACTCGAGGGCTCTGAAGATGATTTGAATTTACTGCTCAAGTCCAACACCTGCAATCTGCAGAGTAGGGAGCTCAGTCACAGAGAGCCAGGTTCAAACGCCAGCTCTGCAGCTAACCAGCTGTGAACGTGAGCTTAGCAAATTGTTTAACCTCTCTGGACTTTACTTTCCTCAGGGCATGGCAATAAAATATTTACCTCCAACCCTCCATGGTAAGCATTCAAGATGATGCATGGATAAGAAGTCCTCAATAAAAGGTTAACCGCTGCTAATTTTAAGGAGTTAGCCTCAAGGCACAGAACTAGTTAACAGCACAAGTAGGGATAATTGACCCCAAACCTTGTGCATTCCCTCCCTCTGCTCACAGATCCCCTTCACCCACTCAGTCTTCTCCTTCCAGGTTATGTTCATTTTGGTTGTGTCCCTTTAGTGGAGGAACTGGTCCCCAAACCAAAACCAAAACCCCAATGCACCCGGATTGGGGAGCAGGAAGGAAAATTACCTGCACTGAAATAACTATTGGAATATCCAATGTCATCCCCTCCACTGAGAAAGAAACTTGCCGGCGAGTGCTACTTCTGGTTCATTTTTAAGGACCTTTCCTTGGCATTCTCATTAGTGAGCCTCTACCTCATCCCAAATCCTTCTCAGTTAATAGCAAGGAATTCTCCTGTCACCCTAACAGAATTTCTGCAGGTCCCCATCACTAACGTCTTTCTGTGATGTCATCTTCTTTCCCTCAGTAGCAGCTGCTGTTCCAAATCCTGTCTGTTCCCCCGACTGAGGAGCCAAGGGGATAGATCCAGCCTCACCCAAACGTCACAAATAACGCACAGAGGTCTGGAGTGGCCTTAACCTGTCCACATACGCTAACCTGCAGCAAATACGCAGACCACAGCCAGGTCGAAGAAGGCACATTTACAGGTAAGCCGCACCAGAACCTCTCTACCCAAGCGCAGAGTAAAATGCTTCATGAACCTTGACCGACCCGGCGGCACAGAGCTGGGATTGTGTCCACGGGGACTTCTACAGAAAATATATTAAACTGTAGCAATTTGAACAATTTTAAAATTACTTCCATCCCTTCAGATTCTTTTATATGTAAAAACTCAACTAAATCAGCAACCACATTCCACGCATAGGAACCTGACAAAATTATATAAGCTGCCAAGACTGACTTTGCCTGGCGTTTCGAACGGTGATTCTGTTTCGAAGGACACCGAAGGCAGGGCTTAGAGCACAGCTGTGACTTTTCAGTCTCTACAGGATGATTCATCACTGTCAATTAGTACTGGGCTTATAAAATACAGAATTCAAGATCTCTGTGACTTATGAGTGTATGTGAGTAGATAAGCAATGGATGGAGAAGAAAGCAGGAAAAAGCTTATACATTGGGGAATTAACTATGTGACTGGGAAATATGAGGTGTGATGCAATTAAGAAAATGTAATGGATACAGGTTCTCTTTTTTTTTTAGGTACGAGCCTTTTCAAATGTCTGATCATAAATGGAGAATTTCGGCACTTAGGCTTGTGATATAATTATTTTTAATGTAAATAAATTAATTGTAGTGTGCCACATATACATTAAAACATCAATGCCCTTCAGAAGTGAAAGAAGTGTATCTAAGGCGAAGGGAGTCATTTCACTCCTCCCCTAACTTCCTATCACATGCCCAGATGAAAAGATTTCCTCATTTCCCGTCATGTATTCGTGCATTCTGAGATGAAAGCAAGCTCCCTTGTGCGTCCAGGAAGAGCTGCCAATTGCCTTCCAACGGCATTATAGTTTTCCACTAGAATACTCCTTCCTCACTTTTAACACGTCTCGTTAAGAAGTTCAATTGCTAACTAACCAACAGACTTTTTCTAGTAGCCAAAAGCTTAATGTACCTCTAGTCCCTGGTAAAATGCTATTGGATTACCCATCAGGATGGATGTGTATGTACACACACACACACACACACACACACACACACACACACACGCACGCATGCACACAACCACACATGCACCATTATACACGATGCAAACTTGAAAGTCACCTCCAATCTTAAAAAATTTTCAAAAATAGCCTAGGTAATATATTTTACTAAGCAGAGTTGAATGGGATACTGGCAAGAAAGATTATTTATTCCTTGTAACTCAATCTTCTCAGAAATTATGAACTGATTAGTGCAAGGGGGCACATTGCTAGGGGCATATTTCAGAAATTATGATACATTTTTCTCTGCATATTATGGTAATTTAATTTCCTTTTCCCTACTTTAAAAGAAAATTGTAATTACCAATCTTTACTCACAACACTTGGTTAAGGGCATTTCCATTTCATTTTGTATCACCATAAGCCAAAAAAATTTTCTGATGAGTTTAAAAAATATCACAGGGGATTAGGTCATAACTCACCAGTACTTTCTCTAGCACAGGCACAAATAATTTATCTTCTGAAACTTGGTATGATAGTTTTGATTCACAGATGGAAATCTTATTAGCCCATGATGGAGTCCAATTATTAAAAATAGTATGTGTATAGGAATTAAGTATTTGAAGCCAACAATGTATATGCAATATTAAAACATACACATGTAATATAGACACACACATTAACATTGTTGAAAGACATCTGGATTGATCACAAAGACATTTAGTCCATTATATAAATATTACACTCTTTTTAAACATGAATTTATAAGCTTTTCTTTGTTGATACAGTTCTGACGTAATGATGCTTTAATAATTCTCTCCTTGTCCTCAGATAAGATTAAAAATTGCATCACTAACCCTTTACTTTTGAAACTTAACAAGCTAAAAGATAGGAAGGGAGGGAGGGAGGAAGGAGGAAGGAAGGAGGAAGGAAGGGAGGAAGGAAGGGAGGAAGGAAGGAGGAAGGAAGGAGGAAGGAAGGAGGAAGGAAGGAGGAAGGAAGGGAGGAAGGAAGGAAAAAGAGGAAGACAGGAGGGAGGGAGAATAAGCCTTTCTCAATTCCAATACCTAACTCCTATCACTGAGTAGAATTACGTTACAATATAATTCTTTCACATACTCATAAACAGTATTTCATGACAGAGTTTGTAGCTACTTTATCTCTGGCATATTAGAAAACATAGAAGAAAAATTTTAAAAATGTAATTTCTGGCCATTTCTGTTTATCACAATGATGATAAACTTCTCAACTTACCCCCAAATTCTGAGTGGACTGGCCTTTGTCTCCTGAAGAAATAATTTTGTTACTAATAGCAAAATCCTTTAAAAGCCCCAAATTAGCTATCAGGCTGAGGCTGAGGCTGGGACTTAGCTTGGGAGAAAGAAAAAGTAGCCAAGTATAGTTGGGCTGGCTACAGGGAATGCCAATTGGGTCTACAGCAGACTAATGGGGAAAATGGAACTGCAAACAGAGAACAAATTATAAAGCAACATACAAACATTGTTATTATTATTGGTAATGATTAATTATAATAATAACAATAATTATAATATTTTCAACATTGACTCTTTTGATCCACATACCCAAAATGCAACTATTCGGAATGAAAATCAACAAATTAGTAGTCAGCTACAGGTCTGCTTTGCTAAAGAGCTGTGGATAAGGAAAACCAACAGCTCCAAAATTCTACCCTACGGAACCTGCTAGAAGGTTCACTGGAGCCACAGTAATTTCTGTTCTTGGAGTAGGGAATCAAGCCAACTACATGTTTTTCTCCAGGTTGAAATTTTGCATTTATTTCAAAACCTTAAGGAAATTATATTCCCTTTTCCCTCAGTATTGACCCTACCACTTTAAGCCATTTTAATTTCACTGCAAAGGAATTTAAACTAAAATTTTGTATTAACTTATTTCATATTATTCCTCAAGAAAGACTGAGACTAAAAAGGATGTGCAAAGCTGTACATCCATTCAGTGGGTTCGAACACATATATTAAATGAAATCTGCACCAAAACATAGTTATTGGGACTAAGTTTGACGTTACCTCTGGTACTCCTAATTTTCGGCATGCTTCCAAAAAGTTTTCCACATTTCTTCTGCATTTGGCCATGCTAAGTTTGGGCTATAAATACAAATATGCAGAAATAATGTATTATTAAAAGAGAAATAATTTTAATAACAGGTTAAATTTTAAACTCTCTAAATGCCACAACTAATACATGTTCATTGGAGGGAAAAATACATAAGCAAAGAGAAGACAATAAATGTCATCTAGAAACATCCACCTCGAGATAAAAATTATTAAGATTTTGGATTATATTCTTCCAGACATTGTATATGTGTGTGTGCATATGTGTGTGTAAAGATGTAAGTAAATGGGGCACCTGGCTGGCTCAGTTGGTAGAGCGTGCAACTCTTGATCTTGGGGTTATGGGTTCGAGCTCCACGTTGGGTGCAGAGATTACTTAAAATAAAGTCTTAAAAAAAGATGTACATAGGGCGCCTGGGTGGCTCAGTTGGTTAAGTGACTGCCTTCGGCTCAAGTCATGATCCTGGAGTCCCAGGATCGAGTCCCACGTCGGGCTCCCTGCTCAGCGGGGAGTCTGCTTCTCCCTCTGACCCTCTTTTCCTTCTCGTGCTCTCTCTCATTCTCTCTCTCTCAAATAAATAAATAAATTCTTTAAAAAAAAAGATGTACATAAACATATGTACAACACTGATGTTTATATAAGCAGAATTTCTGCATGTGTGCATACATGTGTATATGTACATGTATACGTGCAAATTTCTACATACGTATATATGTGTATGTGTATGTATACATACACACATGCATACTGACAGTTTTTATGGGATCATACTCTTGTGTAATCTGCTCTCATTCATCTAAAAATACACCATAAGCATCACCTGTTGCCATCAGCAAATATATTTCTATATGAAGGTTTAAATTCAGCAGGCCAATTAATTTCCTTCCCACCAAAGTGAAGGGTTTAACAACAAAGAGGCAACATAGAGGTAAATGGCATAAAAATGGTGGGATGTTTAGGACCCAGTCAACGGCCACTCACAGTTGAGCTGACTGTAGTTACAGATCACCTCTGAGGTGTGGGATGGAAAGCAGGTACATTGGATCCACACATTTTAATTTTTATATAATAGGTTTAAAAGCCTTACTGTTAAATTTTAATATTTCCCTCCTCCCTTAAAAAGGGAACAAGAAGTATGACTGACTCCAACAGTCTAGGTGTAGAAGCAATGTTTTATAAAGACTGATTTTGCCCTGTGAACAGCAAGTGACCGTGAAGTGACTCTTATTCTAGATGGTCTACCCCAGTCATCACAAAAATCTGCGTTTGCACATTATTTATTTTTTAAAAAGGGACTCCTTCTATCCCTATCTCCTCACCCCCAGCCCCCAGAAAGAATGAGAGCCTGCTGATGTGGAACAATTTAGTTTGGAAGCTAAACAGACAATTCTCCACCTTGGCTAGAGAGGAAATGGTTCCCCTCAATGTGAGACTTGCAAAAGTGGGGCAAGGAGCTGCTTGGGTGGTTTGGCCCATTTCCTGGCATGTGTTAGGACAAGACCACATTGACCCCATGCAAAGGGAAGGATGGGCAGAGGTAATGTGACAGGGGGATACCAGAAGTACGGATGCTAGCCCAGCTGTCGGGGCACCCAGAGGCATTTCATCATTCTGAGACCCTAGCATTTGTCTCTCCAATCCTCTGGGCCCATCATCTTCCTTCATGTACTTATTATTTAGGTGGGAGGAAGGGGTCTGTTCTGAAACTCCAAAGATGCCCAACACCATTCACAATATTTAGGTTAGCCCCAAGTGAGGTGAGTTTCAAGCTACACAAAGAAAATTTCCCATCTTTGGAAGTGGGCGGGAGGGCCCCATTCTACGACTGATGCCTGGGTCTAGGGTAGAAAAAGTACTTGCCACAAATAAGAGGTTCAACCCCACCATCGGCTGAAGAGTCAAAATGACACCAGCCTGGCATTAAAAAAAATGGACAGTATTAGTTTTGTGAATGAAAAATTAAAATGCTTAATGCTGACAATAACATGGGTAGAAAAGGCATCCACTGCCGCTGGTGCAGCTACAATGGTGCAAACGGAGTGTTTACTGGGTGTCAGATACTCCGCTAGGGGCTACGTGTGCACGTGTGGAAGCGAAACACACAATCCTTATGGGCGCTCAGCTCCAGTCTCGTTGGAACTATTGATACGTTCAAGGAGATTACAGTGTAGTATGGTATAGGCCTTACTTGTGAGATGACCATCAGGAGAAAAAAAAAAAAAGCAAGGAACAGAATCTAACTTCGTTCCAAGGGGTCAAGAGTGGCGTGGCTCCCGTAGACACTGAAGCAGAGGAGAAACAGGAGCCTGAGCGGCTGCAAGGTGAAATTTAGAGAGAGGGTAGAGAGTGACCTTCCGGATTAGAGAGCACAGCCCGGGCAAACAGTCGACAATGACACACGTCCCAGGACAGCAGGCCGTACTGTTCAGAGGGGCTCTGAGATGCTCACTCAAGAATGTCTGCTAAGTGGACATTTGGAAACAGCCTGTATTTCCAAAAAAGGAAAACTCTGATATGATAACATAAGGTACAATATCTGACAGTTATTAAAATGGGCATTTATTGAAGAATTTTAATGGCATGAGGAAATATCTAGGTTTTGATCAATTTTAAAAACTACTAAATGGTATATGTGAGGAGCTCATAATTCAGAAACAACTTAAACGTAGAAAGGATGCTAGTAGTTCGCAGAGAAACCAAAATGTTAACAGTGGTGGTCTTTGGCTTATGGAATAAAGGCTGCTTTTTTTTCCTTCTGCATTTCTGTATTTTCTCTAGTTGGGCATTATTTCCCATTATTTTTTCAATTAAAAAAATTATTTAGAAAAGAAAATAGGGGCTCCTGGGTGGCTCATTCGGTTAAGCATCTGACTTCAGCTCAGGTCATGATCTCAAGGTCCTGGGATCGAGCCCTGCATCGGGCTCCTTGCTCAGTGGGGAGTCTGCTTCTCCCTCTCCCTCTGCCTCTCCCCTCTGCTTACGCCTTACGCTTTCTCTGTCTCTGTCTCAAATAAGTAAGTAAAATCTTTAAAAATAAATAAATAAAAAAGAAAATAGGTTGACAACCAAAAGATTTCTAGAAGAACGCAGCATGTTTCCTGAAGGCTTAATAAAAACTAATGATGTAATGTATGGTGATATAACATAATAAAAAAATATATATATATATAAATGCTTACATACATGATTCATATTCACTATGATTAATATAATTAAATTCAAATTGGAAGCTATGAGGAGTCATGGTTTCTCTCTTATAATTTGGAAAGAATTATGAAATGAGAATTTGGCACATGGCTCAGACAACTTTACAGCAGTTTGGACCTTATTTGTAGAAAACAATGGAAAGTTTCATACTGGATTACAGGATAGAATTTGCTGCCCAAACTAAGGCAAGCTAGAGACAGATTTGAAAGAGAAGACAAACTGATCTCCCCCCCATAATTTTTTTTTAAAGATTTTATTTATTTATTTGAGAGAGAGAGATACTGAGAGACAGCAAGAGCAGGGCGCAGGGGCAGAGGGAGAGGGAGAAGCAGACTCCCTGCTGAGTAGGGAGCCCAATGTGGGACTTGATCCCAGGACCCTGGGATCATGACCTGAGCCCAAGGAAGACTATTTACCCACTGAGCCACCCAGGCGCCCCACCCCTCTGATTTCTGAGGCAAAAGTGGTACAACTTTTCAGAGGAAGAATATGTTCCACAATATAGAAAGGAAACTGACAGTTGGAACGGGATCCTCAGTTAATCTCTCCTGCTGCCAAGAGAAAAGAAAACATAAAAAAATACCATTGTGACCTCCTTAATGCCCATCACCCAATGTGATAAGCACTGGGTGTTATGCGCAACTGATGAATTACTGAACACCACATCTGAAAATGTCAGCTATTGAATGTAAATTTAAAAAGAAAAGAGAAAAAAAGATAAGGCCATCGTGAGGCTTTCCTGGGGGTGATGGAGGTAGAAAAATGCTCATTATGTGATATTTTATGAGCATTGTGCCTTGACATTAGGGCTCTGAATTTTGAAAATCTGTTCTATAGACAAATGATAACAACGGCTTACATTTGTGCATGTGTCATAGGCAGTAGCCTTATTTTATCCTCACAGGAATACTTCCATGATAGAGAACAAATCAAGGTGAAAAGAGGTTAAATACTTGCCTGCAGTCATATGGCTGACAAGTAGATGTGGAGTTTGAACCCAAACCCTGCGTTCTTAGCCCCTAAACTCTTCTGCCGCTCCTAAGAACAGCAAAGAGTGTGGACAGAAATTCTTCTTTCTCCTCCACTTGCCTGAACCTGACCTCGGCTCCAAAGACAAGCTGTGCCCTGATTCCCCCACCCTCATCTGAATGACCATAAAAGTGACCCCGTAGCTCTGGGACCTATAGGCAGCGGCTCCCACTGCCAGCTTCATCTCCCCTACAGCAGACATGAGGAGTTTCAGGCTATTAGCCGAGTCTCAGCGATCAGCCTGTCTCACGGCTGCCCCAGTATCTCGTGTACCCCAAGCAAAGTGGGGCCTAATGCCCGGCTGACCAACCTCTGGCTTGACGGGTTATTTAAAATGCCATTTTACAGAGAACCACATCTTTCCAGAGTCATCCTAAAATCCTCAGTGACTAATAAAGGAAAGAGATTCCATTTAGCAGAGAAGCCACCAACCAAAAACACTTCCTGGAAAGACTTCTCACTGTTTAAATAACCCCTAGTGAGAAATGAATCTTTATGTCCTTACAGCCTTAAAAGTTAGTGCCCCAACCAGTAAGTCCTTTAACATGATGTGCTTTATCTTTGAAATAAATTCTTTTCCTGGCACTTACATATTTATATATTCTCCCTTTTTAGGTGAAAATGTTGCTTCATTCAGAGCTTTTTCTTTTCCACTCTTCCAGTTGTTGAGGTCCTGGGGAACCCTGGCAGCAACTTTAACAAGCAACACTGTCCCCCCAAAATCTGTCTTATGTGAAAGTTAGTTTCCCTTTATCTGGTGTTACTTACAACTGCTGGTGAGGGGACGTGGATGCTTGCGACGGATCGCGGGCGGATGTGATTGACCAGGTGGCAGAGGACCACGCCATCCATGAGTGCGGCCCCCAGGTCTTCGTGCAGGCTGACCTTGAGTCTCATCTCGATGCTCTGTGGGAGGAATCAGAGGGAAGCCAGGTGTCATCAGGCAATGGAGGGTCAAACAGAGTTACAGGTATTTATGAATTGAGACATTAACTTCATTATGAGGAAGAACAACAGGAACACTTGGAAAACACTGACATTACTGAACTTTTTTCAAAAGATATTACAGTAAAAACCCTGCTGTAGAAAAACAAATTCAGCTGTGCCTAAAATTTTTTAATAAGTTGAGTGAATGGAATACCGGATTACTTCTTGAGCTCAATGTTGCCTCAGCCTTGGCTATGGAAATATAAAACCAGAATGAGGTGACCAACAGAAAGCAGGTCCAACTGGTTCTGACAGGCAGCCAGGGGCAGAGGAGGGACTAAGGGATGCTTTTCTCTTAGATTATGTTTTAGCTGAGAAATCAATTTTTCTCCCTTAAAAAAAATTGAACTTTCTATTTTGAGATAATTATAAATTCATACTCAGTGACAGAGATCCCATGGCTTTTGGGTGGCCTTTTAAAAGAAATTGTGCCCATTAGCATTTCTGGGTTTCCAACTACTTCAGCTCCAGATCTGAGATATATGAGGCAAAAAAGAAAACCCACAGAGCTCACCATGGTGTCATTTCTAGTCCCGAGGGGCCCTAGCCAGACTGCTGTCTTCTCTCTACCTTTCTGAGTGTTCTTATGTTTATTTTATATATAATGTCCATGGTTTTTACTTGTACTTAGTGAGGGTAACAGGGAAAAGTAGGTCTGTTCCATCTTCTCAGAAGCAGAAGTAGAGAAATTAACTTTCTGAACTTCAAATACAAGTTTCTGTTTTATAACAGTGGTTCCTGTTAAATGGATAACAGCCCAAGAAAGAATGACTTAATTTGGAGATTTGGAATAAATGAAGCTCTAGAAACCCAGTGCATAAAACAGTGTCACGTAATTCCTTCTCAAAACGGTCCTGTGTGTAGACACCTACTTTTCTTCTGTACACTCTTTCAGCCCCTTATTTTATATCATAAATGAAAATGTAAACAACCAGCATAACCCACACTTTAAAATAAAACTGTCACTCTGAGAGGCATGTCTCAGCTTCTGATCTTATTTTCACCTTCCTCTGAAAGTTCACCTCCCAAATTTACAGCACATGCAAATACTCTAGGCAAACCACAGAGGTCTTTCTCCCTGGGACTGTTGAGCCAACCACGGTGACTTAAAGCAGTGGGAAGGGGTTTCTGTGTTTTTAATTCTTTCCTCCTGACCCCCTGCTAAACCATATATAAAGTATCATCTGTAGCAACAAAGGTGTGGACCTACCTTAATTTAATTTAACTTTGATTTTATTTACGGGATTCAGTTCTCATTTGCAGAACTCATTGCCATCTAAAATTATATGTTTATTTGTTTCCTTCTCATTTACTATCTCTTTTCATAGACTACAGGCTTCATGACAGCAGGGACCTTTATGTTCTCTCCTATATCCATCTCCTAGAATACTGCCTGGTACACAGTAGCAGTCAATCACCCAGTGACTGAAGAAGATGTACCTTAAATCTATCCCCTCTAGACTTTCTTATACTCTTCTGGTCCATGGCTATTGTACTTGTCCTTGAATATAAAGAACTTATGAAGCAGTTCATGGTGCACTGACTTTAATAATTAATATCCATGTGTTCTCTGGCGACCGACCCATGCACTGCTATTTGATTTTTCATATATTCATATATATATGAGCTCTTGAACTAGATACAAGAGGTATCCATGAGGATAGACAAATACCTCCAGAGTGCCCACCAGAAGCTGTGTGGGAACAGAAATACAGAGAATAAGATAGCCATGTTCCCTGCCATTACCAAGCTTAAAATCTTCATTGGCACCTAGCACAAGACTTCATTCTGGGTAGGATCTCAAATGCTTTGCTTAAATGCCTGATTATAAAGTTCTGATCAGTTGGAATACAAAGTAGGGTAAGGATAAACATTTTTAAATTAATGGAATGTTATTGCTAAGTAAAAGAATGACAGCATATTATTGTAGAGCATACCTGAATTGAAACAATACTAGGTTTTATCCATATGTATTTCAACTTCCATTATCTCATATATTCCTCACAAAACCCCACTAAGATGGGAAGTATTGTTTTAATGCATGAAAAAAACTGAAATCAGGGATGTTATGTGACTTGCCCAATATCAGTCAGGAGGTAACCTGGCTGGATTTGAAATGAGGCCTTTTGGCAGCGCTTCAAAGTCTATTTTTCAAACGTATAGAATGCTGCCTCAATTCTGAAAACGGGTATTCAGGGACGGACTGTTTCTGGGTGAAAACAGGTATTCAGGGACGGACTGTTTCTGGGTGAAAACGTGTATTCAGTGACAGACTGTCTTCTGGGTGAAAATGGGTATTCAGGGATGGACAGTCTCTGGGTGAAAACAGGTATTCAGTGATGGACTGTTTCTGGGTGAAAACAGGTATTCAGGGATGGACTGTTTCTGGGTGAAAACAGGTATTCAGGGATGGACTGTTTCTGGGTGAGAATGGGTATTCAGGGATGGACTGTCTCTAGGTGAAAAGGAGTATTTGGGGAGGGACGTTTCTGGGTGAGAACGGGTATTCAGGGAGGGACTGTTTCTGGGGTACCTCACGGAGTTGTTCCACCAGTTCCTTCTCCTCTCTCATCTGTTCCATTTTCCTCCGAATTGTAAACTGTGGGTCTATAGATTCCAAATTTCTCTGAGGTCTTAGAAACACTGTAATAAAAAGGAAAAAAAAAAGCCTTTATTGAGTGCCTACCACAGGTTGCCATATAGGACTACTCGTATGGATGTTAAATCAATAGTTTACCCTCAAATAATGCACTTAGCACTCATGGAAACAAATTCTGACTTCACACAGAAGGCTTGATTTGAATATTCTAAAGATTATATTTTAAACTGTACTGAGTTATGCAGACTAATAACAGTTGTATTTTTGGTGATAATAGACTGAATCCAGGGAAGGGTGTGGGTCATCCTTGGACCCATGCCAGGCCACAGCTCTGACAGATGTCCCCTCTCTCATGTTCCTGCTGCTTTCATCTAAGTGTTCATGTATCCTTGGGGTTTCATGATCCTTTCATCAACTCAGATAATTTTATTCAAAGAAGAGGACTCTAGAATTGCTTTACACGTTAAAAATGAGGACAGGTTAATATTTCTGTTGGCCAAAATTTTTTATAAGCCTGAGTTAAGAACTAAGTGATGATACACAGGATTACTACGTATTTTAAGTGTGGAGTGGGAAAACTCTGCCTTCTATTACATCACTGACACGATATCCAGAAAATTAGTTCTTTAGAGATGACCATAGACTTCTTTTAGAAAAGCTGGCAAGATTAGAGGCAATTTAAGAGATCATCATTGGCTTCGCGTCTTTAAAATTACAACCATCACAAACAGCAACTAACAGCAGAGCTCCCTCTGAAAGGCGGCCAGCCTCGGGCTCCAGAGAAAATAAATACTCTAAACCTCTGAAGGATAACATCTTGTAAAGACTAATAAAGAAGGTACACAATATTCTACATATGGCATGGTGATTCTAGCAAGGATTTTAATCACTTTTTATTAGGATACAAAGCCCAGTGCAGATTTAAACTTGAATTTTTTTTCTCCTTTGAGATTTGTATCCCATCGAGACTGTCAATTTCCCATTCACACAGGAGGGAGAGCAAGGTGCTGGTAAGAGCTGTATTTGCCCCTCCTGTACTATAGACCTTCAGACTGCATGTGGGCTTAGGGGGCGAGGTGGGGTAGGGGAGCCCTCCAGGAAGTTTTGGGCAAAGAACTTCAGTTTTAAAAACCACAACCACAGGGAAGGCTGCATGGGTACTACAATTCCAGTAATTTTGATCACCATAATATAAATCATGTAAACAAGGTCATGCAACTTTTATTCTATTCTGACAAATATTTCCTACAGGCCACTTAAAAAGTTACTTCAATTTGGGGGCAGAGCAAGATGGCGGAGGAGTAGGAGACCTGGATTTCGTCTGTGGTCTCAGGAATTCAGCTGAATAGGGATCAAACCATTCTGAACACCTACGAACTCAACAGGAGATCGAAGAGGAGAGTAGCAACAACTCTCTGAACAGAGAAGCGACCACTTACTGGAAGGTAGGACGTGCAGAGAAGTGAATCTGAGGCGATATTCGGGAGGATAGACGGCGGGGGAGGGGGCCTCCGTTGACTGCTTCTGGCAAGTGATAGAGCAGCGGAGCACAAAATTGGAACTTTTAGAAGTCGGCTCCGCTGAGGGACATCACTCCAGTGGCTAAGCAGGGGATGGAACCCTCGTGGGACAGTGTGGTCTCAGGACCCTCAGGGTCACAGAAAGACCGGGGATGCCTGAGTGCGGCAGAGCTCCCAGGTATCGGAGCGGGGAAGCCGGCTGCAGAGACGGAGCCGAGGCGCGGGCTCTCAGCTCGGGGTTGCCATAAACCGTGATCCGCGGCCCAGTCGGGCCACTGCTCCTCCAGCAGGGACCCAACAAGCGGCAGAGCCAGGGAGACTCCCCTTCCTCCCCCAGAAGGAGCGGCACGAGAGCGCGCCGCAGGGATCTGCTGGGTTTGGAGACTCCACACGGGGTCGGGTGCCAGAGATAGAAATGCTCGGTCACAGGCCGGGTGAGCACAGAGTGCGGCCGGAGACCAGGGAGACTAGAGTGACTGCTTTTCTCTGGGGGCGCACTGAGGAGCGGGGCCCCGAGTTCTCAGCTCCTCCGGGTGGAGATTGGGAGGCCACCATTTTCACCCCGGTCCTCCAAAGCTGTACCGAGAGCTTGCAGGGAACAAAAGCTCCTGAGAGCAAACCTGAGCAGCTTGCTTAGCCGGACCAACAAGGGCGGGGCAAATCCGCATCCGGCAAAGCCATCTGGGAACCACAGCAACAGGCCCCTCCCCCAGAAGATCAGCACGAACAGCCAGCAAGCCAAGACCAAGTTTACCGATCAAGGAGAATGGGAGAACTCCAGCGCTAGGGGAATACTGCACATAGAATTCATGGCTTTTTTTTACCATGATTAATTAGTTCATCAAAGTTAATTTTTTTAACTGTTTTTTTTTTAATTTTTCTTTTTCCCTTTTTCAACCAACATCTTATCAATCCCTTTTTTAAAAAAACATTTTTTATTTTTCATTTTCAGAGTCATATTTTATCCCTTCATAGTAGTTACCCTTATTTTTGGCATATATATATAAGTTGTTCTCTCTTTAAAATTTTGAGATACAGTTTCTTCTAATGGATTAAAATATACCCTAAATCACTAGTGTATGGCTTTGTTCTAGTCTCCTGCCTGATCACGTACTCTCCCATTTTTCTTTTTTTTTTTAAATCTTCTTCTTTCTTTTTTCAAACAACTTATCTTATCAATTCCTTTTATAAAATCTTTTATAATTTTCATCTATACAGTCTTCTTCCATCCCTTCATTGTATCAACCCTTATTTTGTACATATATGTCTTTCTTCCTTTAAAATTTTAGGAGGCACTTTTTTCTAACAGACCAAAATATGCCCCAAATCTAGTGTGTGGCACTGATCTATGCATTAGCCTGATCATATTTGATCATATTCTGCTTTTTTTGTATTGTTCCGTTTTTGTTTTTATCTTTTTTTTTCCTCTTTCTTTTTTCTTTCTTTCCCTTTCTTTTCCCCTGTTTTCAGATCTTTTCTGATTTGTATACAGTATATTTGCTGGGGACATTGTTAACCTATTAGCATTTTGTTCTCTCTTTCATCTATTCTCCTCTGGACAAAAGGACAAGACGAAAAAAATCACCTCAGCAAAAAGAAAAAGAGGTAGTACCATCAGCCAGGGACCTACTCAATACAGACATTAGTATGATGTCAGACCTAGAGTTCAGAATCATGACTCTAAAGATACTAGCTGGGCTTGAAAAAAGCGTGGAAGTTATTAGAGAAACCCTTTCTGGAGAAATAAAAGAACTAAAATCTAACCAAGTCGAAATCAAAAAGGCTATTGATGAGGTGCAATCAAAAATGGGGGCACTAACTGCTAGGATAAATGAGGCAGAAGAGAGAATCAGCGATATAGAAGACCAAATGATGGAAAATAAAGAGGCTGAGAAAAAGAGAGATAAACAACTACAGGATCACGAGAGCAGAATTTGAGAGATAATTGATACGATAAGACGAAACAACATTAGAATAATTGGGATCCCAGAAGAAGAAGAAAGAGAGAGGGGGGCAGAAGGTATATTGGAGCAAATAATAGCAGAGAACTTCCCTAATGTGAGGAAACAGGCATCAAAATCCAGGAGGCACAGAGAACCCCTCTCAAAATCAATAATAATAGGTCAACACCCCGACATCTAATAGTAAAACTTACAAGTCTCAGAGACAAAGAGAAAATCCTGAAAGCAGCTCGGGAGAAGAGATGTAACCTACAATGGTAGAAACATTAGATTGGCAACAGACCTATCCACAGAGACCTGGCAGGCCAGAAAGGACTGGCAAGATATCTTCAGAGCACTAAACGAGAAAAATATGCAGCCAAGAATACTATATCCAGCTAGGCTGTCATTGAAAGTAGGAGAGATAAAAAGCTTCCAGAACAAACAAAAACTAAAGGAATTTGCAAACACGAAACCAGCCCTCCAAGAAATATCGAAAGGGGTCCTCTAAGCAAAGAGAGAGCCTAAAAGCAGCATAGATCAGAAAGGAACACAGACAATATGCAGTCACAGTCACCTTACAGGCAATACAATGGCACTAAATTCATACCTTTCAATAGTTACCCTGAATGTAAATGGGTTAAATGCCCCAGTCAAAAGACACAGGCTATCAGATTGGATTAAAAAACAAGACCCATCCATATGCTGTCTGCAAGAGACTCATTTTAGACCCAAAGACACCCCCAGATTGAAAGTGAGGGGGTGGAAAACCATTTACCATGCTAATGGACACCAAAAGAAAGCTGGGGTGGCAATCCTTATATCAGACAAATTAGATTTTAAATCAAATCTGTAATAAGAGATGAGGAAGGACACTATATCCTACTTAAAGGGTCTATCCAACAAAAAGATCTAACAATTGTAAATATCTATGCCCCTAACATGGGAGCAGCCAATTATATAAGGCAATTAATAACAAAAGCAAAGAAACACATTGACAACAATACAATAATAGTGGGGGACTTTAACACCTCCCTGACTGAAAGGGACAGATCATCTAAGCAAAAGATCAACAAGGAAATAAAGACTTTAAATGACACACCGGACCAAATGGACTTCACAGACATATTCAGAACATTCCATCCCAAAGCAATGGAATACACATTCTTCTCTAGTGCCCATGGAACATTCTCCAGAATTGATCACATCCTAGGTCACAAATCAGGTCTCAACCGGTACCAAAAGACTAGGATTATTCCCTGCATATTTTCAGACCACAATGCTTTGAAACTAGAACTCAATGGCAAGAGGAAAGTCAGAAGGAACTCAAATACATGGAGGCTAAAGAGCATCCTACTAAAGAATGAATGGGTCAACCAGGAAATTAAGGAATTAAAAAAAATTCATGGAAACCAATGAAAATGAAAACACAACTTCAAAATCTTTGGGATACAGCAAAGGCAGTCCTGAGAGGAAAGTATATAGCAATACAAGCCTTTCTCAAGAAACAAGAAAGGTCTCAAATACACAACCTAACCCTACACCTAAAGGAGCTGGAGAAAGAACAGCAAATAAAGCCTAAAC